GCGGGAAGCCTGCTTCTCCCTCTCCCACTCCCCCTGCTTGTGTTCCTGCTCTCGCTGTGTCTCTCTGTCAAATAAATAAATAAAATCTTAAAAAAAAAAAAAAGATTTGGGGACCTTGGCCAGAGCCCCTCTGGAGGATGCTCTGGGGTCAGCCCTGAGAAAGCTGGGCCACAGGGGACAGCTGCCTTCTGAATGTGTGGGGCCAGAATGTTCAGGTCTTCTGGGGTCAAACCCAGGAGTCAACTTGCCCCCCCGTGCCATGAGACAGGCCAGTGGCCCAGACACTGCCCATAAGGGAGCCAAGGAGGGAAGGTGCCCTCTCCTAATCTGAGCCCATCTGTCTTCACTGGCCTTGGATAGGTATGAGTGGCCGTGTGTGTGAGTGTGTGTGGTGGGGCAGGCAGAGGAATCTGGACTTTAGCAGAGAGGAAAATAATGTGGTGGAGGGGGGTTGTATAACAAAGGATTTTTGCTTGCGACTAATAGTCTCCAGCTGCAAAAATACCAAAGTAGAGGCCAGGCCGGGCTGGGGACGCCCGTTCTTGCCAACTCCTCACCGGCCTGCTGAGTGGGGCCCTGCCTGGCCTTTGGGAGGTGGAAGGGGAGACCGGCCAAGGGTAAATAATCTAGAGCAAGGACGATCCCTCTGCCTGCTCTCCCGGAATTGGCAGGGAAGCCAGGCCAGGAGGGAGTCTCAAAGACCGGCCACGTCCTGGGGGGCACGGGGGGCGATTGCGGAGCTGCACCTGCGATGGAGGGGCATTCGATCTCTTCAGATTTCTTCCTCCTTCCTTCTTGCTGAGGGAAGGGTGGATGGGGAGCAGCGCCAGGGTGTTGCCAGCCCTGAGCTGGGCAGTGACTCAGGGAAGCCTCAGGAAGTTAGAGAGAAGGACGCAGCTGCACCAGCTGGTGCTGGGAAAATGGCTTCCAGTGAAGTTCCCTTGCATGCCATCAGCCCCCCCACCGTGGCCACCAAGTAAAGGGCGCGCGGCCCGATTTGCCTTCCAACCTACTTGCCTGCTAGCTGCCCGGTGCTGCAGCAGGTCTCCCCGCCCCACCGCCACCACCTTGGGGACTTCGGTTTTCCTCCAGAGGCCGCCTAGTGGCATTCATTTGGATCTGTTTTCTCCGTGGTCACAGTGTGTGGGGCAGTGTGTTTGCCTTATCCCAGCCCGGGGCCCTCTTCCTCTGTGGCCTGGGACCTGCACTTCCCAGGCTGCTCTGCCTCTCTCTTCCCCCATCAGCAGGATGAGCCAGTCCTGGGAGCCCAGAGGAGACAGTGCTTGGGCTTGGGGGTGTGTCAGCAACCACAGGGGCAGTGCCTCTTCTCCGTGACCTCCTTCTCTGGTCACCTTGAAGTGAGGCTTAACGGGGGGGCGGGGGGGACCTGAAGAGGAAAGCAGTTTGATGAGAGCCCCGAATTGGCTCTTGCTCTTCCTCCCGCGGCCTAAGTCCTGTGACTGTGAGTCAGTGTCAGGGCCTGGCCAAGTTCCTTGGGAGCCACGTTCCTGTTCCCTTTGCCCCCACCCCCACCCACTGTTAGGAAACAGCCCCTGAATCCCTGTGGGTGGGGGCAGGATTAGAAGGGGGTTGAGCAGAGCGTCTAGTTATTATACCCACAGCTCTGTGGGGGCAGAATAATCCCTACTGGGTTTGAGTGGGGGTAGTGTGTGGGAGTAAGTTGCAGCCAAAGGCAGGTGGTCCACAGATCTCTTTACCTATTGGGGCAGTTGGTGGAGGTGGAGTGCAAGGCAGGGCTCCCGAGGAGTCGCTGTCTTAGGAGATTCCCAGTTTGCAAGAGGCGTTACCTCTGGTGGTGGTAGTTGGAGGGGGCAGTGAGTGGATGGGAGCCAGTGGGTCTTGGAGAGGAGGAGTCCGAAGAGGCCCGCAGGGGTCCCTGTCCCCCGATTTCCTACTGTGCCCTACCCCTCCCCTCTTCAGTCCTTTTTAGCCTCTCCCATCTCCCCCAGAGATGGCATAAACTGAGTGTGGGCACCTGGTCTCCATCCTCCTCTCGTCTTCACGAAGCTCCCCTTCTTTGTGAACCATGCCTCAGTTTACTTTCAGAGTCCTTTTATGGCCCTCCTCCTATGTTCTCTGTCCTCCAGCCCTGTATGTTATTCTCTGCTCCTTCCCACCCTCCCTAGGATAGGAAATTGAGCAATAGGGACATTGAAGAAACGGGAACGGGGGTGAGTAGAGGAAGTTTGTCCTATGTCACTGGTTCCAATCTTTTGATACCATGGGCCTTCCCTTTTCCATGTCTATGGGTGCCATATTTTGACACACTTTTTTCTCAGATGGAATTTATTTATTTATTTATTTTAAAGATTTTATTTATTTGACAGAGAGAGACACAGTGAGAGAGGAAACACAAGCAGGGGGAGTGGGAGAGGGAGAAGCAGCCTTCCCCTCGGAGCAGGGAGCCCGATGTGGGGCTCAATCCCAGGACCCTGGGATCATGACCTGAACCGAAGGCAGACGCTCAATGACTGAGCCACCCAGGCGCCCCTCAGATTGAATTTATTAATGGTGTGCCCTGCTTTTCCATTTTTAAGAGTCACACCACATGTACGTGTCTGGTCAGTGCCCTGGCTGGCATGAGATAACTTGACTTACCATATAACGTTGATGAAAATCCAGCCAACATCAAACATGCGTGATGTTTTAGTTAGCCTGAGTGCTGGTATCTCAAGTAAAAGCATATGTAAAAATATTGGAATGAACTTGGGGACCTGTCCTCACTGCCTTTTGGTACCCCAAGAAGATGGTCCCGCTCAGGGAAGGGCTAGAGCTGGGGAAGCTTGTCCATGAACTAATCAGCCAACATGGACCCAGTGCTTCCTGTGTGCGGCCCTGAGCTCGGTGTGTGGAGCAGGGCTCTGTGGGAGAGCACTCGGACACTTGTCTTTGGAGAAACCAGATAGAAACCAGCTAGGAAAGATGGCAAAGAATACAAGGCAAAATGTGCCCTTGCCAAGAACTCCCACAGGAGCTCAGAGAGGAGAGACAGCTATAGCCTACGTGGTGAAGGAGGTCGCCCCAGAGGAGGTGGGCTTCCAGGGGTGGGTTCTGCACCAACAAGGGTGGGCATGTCTGTAGGAGGACCTCCCCCCATAGCTCTTTCGTTCACATTTTCCAGACGTGGAACAGATGGCCATCGACTGGCTGACGGGCAACTTCTACTTTGTGGATGACATCGATGATAGGATCTTTGTCTGCAACCGAAACGGGGACACGTGTGTCACTTTGCTGGACCTGGAGCTCTACAACCCCAAGGGCATTGCATTGGACCCTGCCATGGGGTAAGAGGGGTGGGCCGAGGCTGTGGTGGAAGGGAGAGTGCCCGATGTCCAGAGCCCAGTTAACGTGCCCTCTGCCCACAGGAAGGTGTTCTTCACTGACTATGGGCAGATCCCAAAGGTGGAGCGCTGTGACATGGATGGGCAGAACCGCACCAAGCTGGTTGATAGCAAGATCGTGTTTCCTCACGGCATCACTCTGGACCTCGTCAGCCGCCTCGTCTACTGGGCCGACGCCTACCTAGACTACATTGAGGTGGTGGACTACGAGGGCAAGGGCCGGCAGACCATCATCCAGGGCATTTTGGTGAGGGGAAAGCTTTTTCAGGGCAGCCATTCCCTAGGCCTCCCAGTGAGAGGGAGGATGACATGGGAGCACGTTTGCCTTCTGGTGGGAAGCGGGGTAGACATGAGCCCCTCAAGGAAGGGAGTGGATATGGCTTCTACTCTGACGGAAACAGGTCATTTTAGAGACATCCTTTAATTCCCTTTTCTCACTTGATCCTTACAACAACCCCTGGGAGATAAGCGGGCAGGTGTCTCAGTTCCTTTTTGGCATTAGAAAAAGCAGGGTTCAAAGAGGTTAAGAGATTTGCCTGAAGTTACACAGCTGGGAAATAGCACTGGGACCAAGTCTAGAAGCCCTTCCAACTCAGAGATGGCACCTCCATTCTGGGATCATTGAGGTGACCAGCCATCCCTGTTAGCCCTGGACGTGCCACAAACCAGCAAATCCCTTTGTCTTGGACAAGCTGGAACAGTCAGTCACCTTGGATAAGTTATGTGGGTAGCAAGGGCTGTTACCAGGCTTGCTTGGGGCAAGTCTGTCCTCTCAGTCTTCCCAAAGCTGGTGGCTAGAGTTGGGCTAAGAATGTCCTCCTTTGGACAGAGTTTAGGGCCCAACTCCAATTCAGTCCAAAATGGTTCCATTATCCACTGTATGCCTGAGCCTGTGGGGGACGTGGTTCCTGCCCTCAAGGGGTTTGAGCAGAGTGGATGGGATGAGTCCACAAATCACCAGTCAGTGGATAATAGCCAGAGAGATGGAGCGTGAAAGGTGAGCCTGTGTCTGGTTAGAAGATCCCAGAAGCTCTTCAGAGAGACGCTCTGTGAAGGATGAGTGGGATTTTGACAAGCAAAGATCTCAAGAGCCGGAGGAGACAGGAGGAAAGCGTAGAGTTAGACAGTTGTGGAATGAAGTGGGCAGTGCAAATAATGAAATTTGGATGGGAAACCGAGGGGCTCTCCAGGACAGAGGGAGGATTCCCTTCTCCTCTCATGCTGACCATTCCTACCTGCCCGTCTCAGATTGAGCATCTGTATGGCCTGACCGTGTTTGAGAATTATCTCTATGCCACCAACTCGGACAATGCCAATGCCCAGCAGAAGACGAGCGTGATCCGAGTGAATCGATTCAACAGCACTGACTACCAGGTCGTCACCCGTGTGGACAAGGGTGGTGCCCTCCATATCTACCACCAGCGGCGTCAGCCCCGAGGTGAGTGGGGCCCCGCAGCCCCTGCATGGACCCTCCTGTGGGAATGCCCGGTTCTCTCATATCATGACTGCTTCTTATAGCAATCCATCCCGGACTAGCTCCCCTGGCCCCTCAGCTTCCCCTGCCAGCCCCTTCCTGCCCCTCAGCCTCTAGATCCCACCTCCATGGAGCCCCTGCACCCAATTCTGCTCAGGACATAGGTTGCTCCTCCCAGTTTCCTGGCTGCTTCAGAGTAGAAGCACCTGACCACGGGCAATGGTGTGACTCTCTCCCCTGGCCGCAGAAACGGCCACCTGCAAGTCTGAAGGCAGAGAAATCCCAGTCCTGTGGCTTCTAAAGCTTCAAATGGGACAACAGGTTTAAAGACCACAGCAGGAAGGAGTGTGGTCAGACCTCAGGAAGCCTTCCCGAAGCCTGGGCACGGGAGCTCTGGAGGGGCCTGACTAGCTCTCCCCTGCCTGCAGTGAGGAGCCACGCCTGTGAGAATGACCAGTTCGGGAAGCCAGGCGGCTGCTCCGACATCTGCCTGCTAGCCAACAGCCACAAGGCACGGACCTGCCGCTGCCGCTCCGGCTTCAGCCTGGGCAGTGATGGGAAGTCATGCAAGAGTGAGTGACCGCGGGGGGTGTGTGCCCGCTGGGATGGGGTGGGACACGTCCTTGTCTGCCTCCCCACAGCCTGGCCGTTTCTGTCTGAGATGCAGAGAAATGAAGGGATTTACCCATTTCGCCTCTAGTGGGGGGCCGAGACGGAATTTGAACCCACATCCAAGAGCAAGGCTTTTCCCATTACCCTCCTTGGGCTCTGTAGAAGACTGTCAACTGGCCCATTCAATTCATTCATCCATTCATTCATTCACTCAACAAATACCTCGTGAGCACGGGCTGTGTCTGGTGCTGTCCTGGCCATGAGGATTCGGCAGTGACAAGATAGATGTCATCTCTGCCTTACGGAGCTTATAGTCTGGCAGGGGAGACAGACGAGTAAAAGTTACTCCAAGTGGTACCTGGTGTTAGGAAGAAAACAGTGGAGCACAGGCCTGCTGATGGCAGTGAGGGCCCCAGCTGGGGTGGAGTGATCAGGGAAGGCTTCTCTGTGGAGCAGGGATTTGAGCCAAGTTCTCTATGAAGGGAGGAGTCGAGTCACGTGACCACCTGAAGGCAGAGCCCTCTGGCAGAGGGGATCAACAGTGCCAGGCTTCAAGGCTGAGAAGGGCACAGCATGAATGAGGCGAGACAGGAAGGAGAGGTTGGACGGGATTCGAAATGGGACGAGGAGCTCTTGGTGACTTTCCAGCAGAGAAGTGACGTGATGTGCTTCACATTGGTCAAAAGATCATGCTGGCTGGACGCTGGGTAGAGGATGAACAGCAGGAGAGTGGCAGGAGGCTCCTTCTGTGGTGTAAGCAAGGGGTGGTGTGGCTTAGATAAGGATGATAGGAGTAGAAGTGATCCAGCGTGATCAGAATCCAACATTTTACCACGGAGCAGTGAGCACCTAACTGAAAACCTGCTCCTGGCTACTCTTGCACCATCTCCTACCCTTAGACTGGCAAGGCAGACCCCCCAGGGTGCTGTCCCTGGCCTTTACATGTTTATGGATCTGTCCATGTGACCCCGACCCCCTGCCATACCCATACCCCCTGACCCAGGAGAGCTGGGGCATTGCAGCCTCTTGGGCCGTGGCCCTGGAGGCGGGGTGGTAGTCTGTGTGTGTGTGTGTGTGTGTGTGTGTGTGCGCGCGTGCGCACACACGTGCCTGACTTTGTGCCCCTCCTTGTGCCTGCCCTAGAACCAGAACACGAGCTGTTCCTTGTGTATGGCAAGGGCCGGCCAGGCATTATCCGGGGCATGGATATGGGGGCCAAGGTCCCGGACGAACACATGATCCCCATTGAGAACCTCATGAACCCCCGGGCCTTGGACTTCCATGCTGAGACTGGCTTCATCTACTTTGCCGACACCACCAGCTACCTCATTGGCCGCCAGAAGATCGATGGCACCGAGCGGGAGACCATCCTAAAGGACGGTAAGGGCCCCCGAAGTGAGGGCTGTGCAGATGGGACTCCCGAGGGACACCCACCTGGGAAAGGAAGCCACGTGAGGCCTGCGCATCGCCTTCTCAGCGCCCTCTCAGCATGGAGAGTCCCCTGCTGACTGGCTGGCTGGGCCGGTTGGCATGGAGATGGGGGGATAGACAGATTGACCCCTGTGTGACCCCCTTCTTGGCTGAGCTGGAAAGAGGCAGGAGGATGGATGGGTTAGGCAGCGTGGGCCGTCCTTGCCAACCCTTGGGAAAACTCGGGGTCTCTCTGCCGTCGGCTCTGAGCTCCGGAGCTGCACACAGGACACAGCCCAGGGGAGGCCTGAGGCCTTGAGTAGAGCAGCCCCGCCAGCACCTGGGTGCCCACAGAGGGCCTGCACAGCCCTTACAGCCACCAGAGCTGCTTGCTTATCTGTCCTGCGAAGAATATGTTTTGGGACCTGAACCCAGTTTTTCCCTCTGGGCTGCTTGGGCAGGACAACACTACATTGTCTCCTCGATTTCCATCTGCCTCTGAGCTCCTGAGTTCTGCCCCTTTCCTGCTGGGTGTCAGGAATTCCCAAACCTGCACTTGGGCCCCCAGGACAGAGCTCTCTACCCAGTGAATCTGGCTGATGCCCAGTTACTGCTCCCCACCCCCCGCAGTTCTGCTCATTGAACCTCAGCAGTCAGCAATCATAAGACTTTGGGGAAATCAGAAGTAACTCATCAGGAAAAGATTGGGGTTCCCTATACCAGGGGAGCTGCTATGTAAGCGTGAGATGAACCCTTTGGCTAAGTGAAAAATCACTTCCTAATTTATTCATTTTGTTAGCTCAGGACTTTTGGGCCTGGGATGTTGTGTCACTCTTGTGCCCAGAGCCACACGCAACCCAGCTCACTCCAGCTCAGGCTCAGACAGGCCCTCACATGAGAGCTTGCATCTGCCACGTAGGTTCACGGGCTGCCGGCTGCAGTTTTGAGAGCCCCAGGGCCTCAATGCAGTCTCCTCAGCTCCTTTTCCAACCCCCCACCCCAGCACACCCACCGTCTCGGGCACAGGGTGCTCCCCGCACGGCCTGGGTGTCGGGTTGCTCAGAGGCAGGCAGTGTTGAGGTTCCTTTGAGGCTCTCCGTCATGGCCCCCTTCACTCCCTGCAGGTATCCACAATGTGGAGGGGGTAGCTGTGGACTGGATGGGGGACAATTTGTATTGGACGGATGATGGACCCAAGAAGACCATCAGTGTGGCCAGGCTGGAGAAGGCTGCTCAGACCCGAAAGACTTTAATCGAGGGCAAAATGACACACCCCAGGGCCATTGTGGTGGATCCACTCAATGGGTGAGTCTTCCCAGGGCCTGGGGGTAGGAGGAGTCAGGAACTGTGGGTCTCAGAACTGGGAGGTGAGACAAGGAGTGTACAGGGGAGAGCAATCTAAAGTGGGGTGCTGAGGCAGGAATCAGAGGCTGAATGGGGGAAAGGTGCCCCATCTTCAGGACAATGAGAGTGATGCCTTAGACACATACAGAGAGATCTGGTCCTGTCACTCCCAACTTGGGGCCCCCTGCAGGCTCCCCTCGCCCTTGGAGTGAGAGCCACATTCCTTATCAGGCCTGGGCTCCTACAGGATCTGCCTGCATCCCCTCAACCTCATCTGCATCTCTCTGCTACCCTAGGAAATTCTGTCCCCACCGCCCCCTGTCTGTTCCTCAGACCCCCCAGCTCTTCCTGCCTCAAGGCTTTTGCTCTGGGAGTTGCTTTGCCTGAAGCTCCCAGACATTTGCAGATCTAGCCCCTTGTCCACATTCACACCTAGGCTCAAATGCCGCCTCCTCAGGGAGGCCTTCCCCAGCTGCTGCCCAGTCCACTCTCTATACCTTCATCCTGCTTCGTGCCCTTCCTGGTTTTTCTCGACCTCCAATGTGTGTCACCTTCCAGTTGACTTGTTTCTTGTCTGTACCCCTGGGTGGGATGTGATCTCCATGAGAGCAGGGGCCTTGTCTGCCTGGGTCTCCACTGGGTCCCCGAGTGCCAAAACTGTGCCCAGCTCACAGTAGGCACTCGACAAATACTGGCTGAGTGGAGGAATGAATGGAATGTGGGGGCGAGGGTGGAGTAGGCAGGAAGCCCCTGGGAGGAGCTCTGGTACAGCACACGTGGATCGGGATCACACAGCAGGCTGCCGAAGGCAGCGGTGGCCCATGGGTGCTGACCAGTCACTGCCCACAGGTGGATGTACTGGACAGACTGGGAGGAGGACCCAAAGGACAGTCGGCGAGGGCGGCTGGAGAGGGCCTGGATGGATGGCTCACACCGAGACATCTTCGTCACCTCCAAGACAGTGCTATGGCCCAATGGGCTGAGCCTGGACATCCCAGCGGGGCGCCTCTACTGGGTGGATGCCTTCTATGACCGCATCGAGACCATACTGCTCAATGGCACAGACCGGAAGGTGGGCAGGCACGCACCTGTGTGGGGGTGTTCTTGTGTGCTTTGCTAGGCCACGTTTGTGTGTGGATGGGGCTTTTTTTTTTTTTTAAGATTTTATTTATTTGAGAGAGAGAACAAGCAGGGGTGGGGGAAGAGAGAGAGGGAGAAGCAGACTTCCCGCTGAGCAGGGAGCCCCACGCGGGACTCGATCCCAGGACTCCGGGATCGTGACCTGAGCCGAAGGCAGACGCTTAACCGACTGAGCCACCCAGGCGCCCCTGGATGCGGCTTTTTGTGTGTGAATGTGTGGGCATCTCTGGATCTAGGCCCGTGTGCTTCATGCATGTCCACCTCCGTCCCTGTGGATGTGCGCCTCTCTGTGCTGTGTGTGTTACATGTCCTATTGCCTGAGGATCGCCTCTCCAAGAGCGTGTCTGGGACTGCATGCTGTCTGCGGGCTTGGCCACTCATGCGCGTACCGGAGCGGACAGCGCGTGTGCATCTCTGCACGTTTGTGCCCACACACACAGCACACTTTGGTGTGCGCCTGCTGTGTTTGTCTCTGTGCAAGTGCAGGACTCCTAGAGACGGCGTCGACACGCACTTTTTCACTGGGTCGGCCTTATGCTTCGGGACTCATGTGCATATCTAGGCATGTGGACTGAGCCTTTTCCTGGTATAGAAGGCCCTTGATGATCTGGCCTCTGACTATCTCTGTGGTCTTATGTCTCCCCCTGTTCCCTGCACCCTGACATTTGAGCAAGTGACCCAAGACAGCTTGGAATTCCCAGCACATAGCGTACAGGGTGCAGCCCCCTGTGCTGTTGCTGACGCAGTTTCCCCACTCCTCCTCCCCTGTCCCATGGCTCAGGAGCCACCTTCTCCGGGATGTTGTCTCCAGACCCCTCTTCCAGCCTGGATTACCGCGTGTGCCCTCCATGAGACAATAGTGGCTTCAGGGCAGGGACGGTGTCTTTTTCATACCATAGCTTGACCCTTAATAGATCCTGGCAAATGTTTGTTGAGTGAAGAAATGAACAGATGAATTTTGGCTGTCTGCTCAGTACTTTGTGTGTGTGCGCGCGCATATACCCATGTTGGAGGGATATGAATGCATATGAATGGATCCAAGGGAGGATAGTGTGGACAAGTTCCCCATCAGCATCCTGCTGGGTCCAGGGTCTGGCACCTCAGTGTGTGCAAAGCTGTCACCCTCATGGGCTCCTAGGCTAATGGGGGAAACAAGACCCACACCCAGGACATGGACACATGAATGAACAAAATGTTAATCCCCCCGGGCCCTCCTCAGGCACCCCATTTCTCCTCAGCTCCTCAGTAACCTCCCCTCCATTCTTAGATTGTATACGAGGGTCCTGAGCTGAACCACGCCTTCGGCCTGTGTCACCACGGCAACTACCTCTTCTGGACCGAGTACCGGAGTGGCAGTGTTTACCGCTTAGAACGGGGCACAGGCGGCGCCCCCCCGACCGTGACCCTTCTGCGCAGCGAGCGGCCCCCCATCTTTGAGATCCGCATGTATGATGCCCAGCAGCAGCAAGGTACCGCCTGGGGCTGGGGCCAGTGATTGGGGGGGTCCTGGATGGGGAGTGAGGCTACTCGGGGCGGTGGGGGTGAAGGCACTCCCCAGGGAACCTAGGCTCTGAGTTTTGAGGCCCTGGAGAAGAGAGTTTGATTGTCTTCCGCGTCTCCCTCCCTGTCCCGTGCCTCCATGTTCTCTCCAACATGCTTATTGTCCTGTCGTCACTGCCTCCCTTTCTGACTCCTCACTTGAACGTGACTTTTCCCTGTCCTCGCCGGCCCCTCCCTCGGCCCTGCCTTTGTAGTGGGCACCAACAAATGTCGTGTGAACAACGGTGGCTGCAGCAGCCTGTGCCTGGCCACCCCTGGGAGCCGCCAGTGCGCGTGCGCTGAGGACCAGGTGTTGGACACAGACGGCGTCACCTGCTTGGGTATGAGGTGCCCAGCCGGGGTGGGAGGCCTGGGAGCAGTCCTCAGCGGGAGGGGGCCGAAGTGTCCAGTCAGAGATGAAAGAGGCAAAGGAGATCCTGTGGGGGCAACAGGAGGCAAGGGTTGTGGTGAGAGAAGGCCCTGGGAGCAGGAGAGCATTCGGGGAGGACTGGGGATGGGAGGAATTTGGAAGAGCACAAAGATTAGGGGAAACTGAGTGATGACCAGGACAGCTTGGGAAAGAGGAACACATCCTTTTACATTTATCTCCCCTGGATCCAAGTAATATAACAACAGTTTTAAATACTGGAAATTAGAGAGGGGGAAAAAAAGCCCAAATCCCACCAACAGACCCCAGTGTATTGTTAGCAGTGTGGGGAAGGAACACCATCTCTTTATGACCAGCTGGGTTACATGGTTGGGTTTATTTATTTATTTATTTATTTATTTTTTTTTTTTTTAAGATTTTATTTATTTGACAGAGACACAGCAAGA